CACATTAGGAGATTTATTGCAAAGTATTTTTTTTACTGTTGTAATAATGTTTTCTATTTTCTGTTATGAATTAAATTACTTAACAAAAGAGAAATTCTGCTCTTGGCAGCATGTAGTGCAGGAATTAATTCAATAGATCAGTAGGTAATTCGGAGGTTGCACTTTGGATTTCTCATGTATTTATTCATAGAACTAAACCTACTCTTTGTTAATACTTATTCAGCTACTCCTTCAGGGCTGTGTAGCTGATCTGGTGTAATTCGGTAGCACTATATAAACTTATTCAGATAGTCGTTTACTGCTCAGTCCTAAAAGTTTTACGTGTCCAAGTAGATCAGTTTAGGTCACAAAAACCTGCAGGAAAACAAGTGAGAAGGCTGAAGAATGCTTCAGAGTTAAGTGTACTTGAGTAAAATTTAAAACTGATAAAACTTCAAAAGAAAAATTATTTTTACTTTTGAATAGACCTGAGTGGCAAGAAGACATCTCATACCAAGCACTTACTGTTAGTTTTTATATGAAGAATGGGGCAGAAAGCAAACAGAAACTTTTAATTATCTAAATTGTGGGGGAAGTATACCAAGTTTTTAGCCCATAAGGAATGTATCTTACTAAAACTTGAGAATGCACATTGTTTACATTTATTGACTAAACCCATATTTTTTTCATACCAAGATATTTCTGGTATGAGAATGAGAGCAGTCAATAAGGGGCACAGTTTGAGCTTTGGTATTTGGGTTTTACTATGATTTGTTTTGCATACAGATAGAATCTGCAACTTCTTTGCTGAGAACCCACTTTAAAATCTTGCAACTATTCCCCTCATCCCTGTTGGGAACACCATATCTCCAGGTAGTTTAGCTGATCACACTGGAGTTACAGACTTAAGTCAGCTTCTAACACCTGATATTTCTTAACTTCAACCAAAGTAAAACTGGCATTCAGATATAGTAATGAAGCTTTTTAATGTACAAGAATACTAGCGAGAAGCATTCCAGTAAACAGTTTGTTAGTTTTATTCAGTTTTAAATTACAAAATATTTTAATCTATCTACTCTGTGAAAACATTGTTATAAATAAAGCAGGTGTTAGGTGGGGAGAAAAGCTTTTGCAGCAGTGCTTGAATATGTAACTATATATGACCTAAAGAAAGATTATTTGCTCCTTAAGGCTTGTAAAGAATTTAGTACCTCAAAATTATTAAACATTACTCTTATTGATGGAGAAAAAATAGTCTATTCATAATTGATAATGTCAACTAGTGGCCTCTGTGGTAACAACCTAAATGTGTTGCAAAGTGATTTTGCAAAAATGCATGTTACATGGTTTATGAAGTTCTGCAATTTATTGTGTTGTGTTTTATATAAGTACACCAAATACAAGAGTTGGGGGGGGAGCGAGTTTCACCTAATCTGTGTTTGAAAGACTACATACATACATTTCAGTTCTGGATAGTTGAGAATAGTTTGTGGGTTATTTGTGGTTTGAGGGTTTTTTGTGGGTGGTTGTTTTTTTGGGGGGGGTGTTTGGTTTTGGTGGTTTGGGGGTTTTGTGGTTTTGTTTTTTTTTTAAGGGCTCTTCAAGATGTGTAGAAATCTGTTTTCTATTTTACAGTTACGTGGATGCTTTGGGGGTTTTTTTCTTTGATTCCTTTGTTTCTCTTTGTCAAACTTTCTCGTTTAAGACCTGTATTTTGGAAAGCATGGTTGAGTAGTATTCCTTTGTCACTACTTCTGATATACTTTGCTGACACTTGGTATCACTGCATCAAACTGCTGTCTGGAAATGAACTGTGGATCTCTATTCTTTGCACGCAATCACACTCCAGCTATGGCTGAGTGATGATTTTGTTGAAGCAGTGATGCAGAACACGATAGTTAACTCCCCAAGTCTTTACCCATTCTGCTGGTGGATAAGGACCTTTTCCTTCACAGGTTTCTACATAAAGCCAGGGGATGGACAGCATTTATGTGGAGTTTGATTGCTTACTGATTGGAGGAGAATCCTTCAAGAATGACTTCTATAAAGAAGGCAGGTGAGGAATGCTCTTGTCATGAACTGGTAGAGAAACAAGGTAATGAACTAAGCAATGACAAAGTCACCTCTGAATTTTGTTTGCATATGTATTAAGTGAAAGGCCTTGCTAGTAACATGACAGGATGCATCAAAGTATCAAAATATTGGACAGTACACTATATAAAGAGTGTTGAGGACTTTCATCTTCACATATTTGGGATTTATCCAACTCTTGCTTTAGCTTCTGGTGAAGGCTGTGCTTTGAACACAGTAATAGATGATCTCAAGGCTGATCTAGCGTGCCATTGCATAGTTTCTGTATCTTAAAACTACTGGATTATTTGGTTTAGGAATTATGAAAAAATAATGGAGGGGGGACAAACCTACAGATCAATAATAATAAGACTAATATGTAATTGAGGTTTCTACTGTACTAAGACATAATTCTGTATTTGTGTTATTAATTCTTCTAATTCTTGCACTTCTGAGCAAGCAGAAAGTACTAAAGATGAATTTAAGATACACTCTGTCCCTTTGAGGGGTTTGTGGGCTAAAACCAGAGTATCTTTTCTACTGGGATACATAGAAAGTTAGGTCAGTGTTGAATAATGTATTACCAGAGTGCAATAGCTCAAGGTAACTGCTGTCTTCTCCCCCGCAGTGTCCTGTTTTACACATACAAATTCCCATTTTACAGCAACTTTACCTCCTGCTCTTCCTATTGTAAAAGAGGAAAAAATACTGAAAGAAATCAGTAGCTAATTTCCTTTAAATTTGTATTAGAGAAATATATGTAACCTATTTTCTACAGAAATGTTTGTATATATATATGTATACATAAATATAGATATAAAAACCCCTTTACTCTGTATCTGTTCTTACTGTATTGCATGTTTGGTTAGTGTTTAACCTAACCTATAATCAGGATTGTTAATAACTGATATTAATTGTAATTACATTTATTCTAAGATATAAGTTGACATTATTAACATTATTATTGACTACACTTGTGTCTCTACAAAGCATGTGATAGGAAAAAAATACGTATTCCCTTCCTACCATTTGAAGAGATGTGGAGAACCAACTCTAGCTTTTCCACATGAAAAACTCCTTTAAAATAGGTAAGCAGTCTTTGTGGTCATATTGAGATATAATGTTAAATACCAAGAGGTGCTAGTACATTTTTAATGGCTGATACAGCTTCCTAATCAGGAATTTACTTATACACTGAAATACTACACCCCAAGGAAATAGTTACTATTTAGTAACTCTGAATCTGTTGCAAAATTAAAATTCATATTTCTTTTAAACAAAGGTGGGATATAAAATTTAACTTCTTCAATGTCATTTGTTTTCTCATCGCTTTTAAAAATTTTCATGTTGTTCATAAACCAGTTTTAAAGTACTCTAACAACTCTTACAGATATTAATGTGCTTGAAATAGAAAACCAATAAGTGAAGGAAGAATGAGTATAGTTATAATCAAAAATAACCTCTGGGTCCCTACAGCACACTTCAGTTTTTGCAAAATAAGATGCATTTAAAGATTATAAAATACTTGCCCAGTGCCCATACATTTTTTTAAGACATAGTATATAAAGGTTTAACATGGGAAAAACTGTCACAGTTTCAGTTTCAAAGCAAAATGAAGATAGAATTCAGTGCACTTACATCCAAATGTACTTGCCTGCAGACAGTCAGGAAAAGCAACCTGCAAACATTACATGTCTGTGCAAACAGTAGCTATTATTGACGCAAACAATAGCTATTATTGACTCAAATCTACCTAAATTTTCCCCATCTAAGCTCTTCAGAGTTAAAGAACAGGGAGTACAAAAAGTGATCTCACATGTTCAGTCCAGCTACTGCACTAGTAAATGATATATACTCCTCTTGAAATAGGAGGAAAACAGCTGCAGCTAGGTCACCAGACAGTTGAAAGTGTTGTAATGAAAATAAAGCAGTTGACAACTTGAGTGAGTTTGCACCTAAATACTTTGTCACAGCCACTAAGATATATGTTCAGAGAAAGGAAAATATCCCGAATTTCCTGAATCAATGCAGCATTTCATGTTTCTGTTAAAATTAATTTTAATGTGTTATAATTAATTTCAAGATAGGAGTTTTTATTTTTTGTTTGGCTGCATGTAAGACTTCCTTGTGTCTTTTTAACTTCCCCAGTGTCCATTATACATGCAACAAAGTTGGTTGGGGTTTGATTTGATTAGGCATATCTTTCCTAATTATATTTTTCAGAAGGATTATGGAGATGAAGGGTGAATATACAATAAAATAATAGATGACTATGAAATATGAGAAATCCTTTGTGTGGCGAGTGACAAAATATTACCTATAAACTCTGACTATGCTGACAGCACTTTGTCTCTGGATAAAACTTCTAGGAGTTTGCTGTGGGCAATTCAGTAGACTCAGCTGAATAAAATGAAGCTTATTCCCTAACTAGCTATCATGACTTGTTTCCAGGAAGCTCCTTGGAGCTGGGGGCTTGCATTCAGCCTGATAGGTAGCTGTCTCTTTTTGTCTATTCAGATTTAGACTTCGAAAACTGCCTTACATCTCAGTCATGTATTTCTAGGTCCTGCCAAGAAATTGCTTGTTATTAGTCTGATTGTGTCCATGGTCACTCACAGCAAAGGATGTTAGACTATTGTAACAAGCCAGCTAAAGTGCATAAAAACCAGTTTCTATTTCCTTTTTTCTTAACTTGTTCTTTATAAATATTGTTACAAATTAAAGGAGATGAAAATGAAATTAAAGAAAATCAGAATTCATCCTCCATCTTTTCTGTGAAAGGCTTATGAAGACATGATGGGACTGCAGCTCCTTTCATAGGATTTCTTAACATTATTTTGAGTCAATTTTAAGTGCTACAAATCAGTGCAACTCTTAACCTTTCAGTGAATCCTAACCTTTCAGTTATACCAGTTCAAAATCAGGCTTATTTTAGTAATGCTTATTGCATTAAAAAAAATTAAATAATCCTGTTGTTGACATTTTATATCAATGTAAACATTTAACTCTTTAAAACAGAATTGTATCAAATGCACATTCTTTGATAATTGAACAAAATAAATTAACAAGAACTTTTACAGCAGAATCAATGTAAGATATCTTAAAGTATTGTTAGAATCCTGTACAGTTTCTATCATTTTCATTTGTCCAGTTTGTTTCCAGGTGATGTCCAATATAAACATTTCCAATGTTTCAAAACGGAGAGCACCTGTGAATAGACAAATCCTTTGGAGACCCTTCAACCCCACATGAGCTCCACTGATTTCTTTGAAATGTTGAGCTGTTCTTCAGTTGGACTCCAGGTCACTTCGAAAGTGCATTGCAGTAGGTTCAAAAAACTGGAAGAAAAGGTTAGAGAAGTTTAAGCTGTGCATTGGTGACAACTGAATTAACCAACAAAATCACCTCATTTCTAACTGTCTCATTAGACTTAAAACCAGACAGCATTACAAGGGAGAATCCTCTTTGTATTTGATGTTCAAATTGATTACCTGGATCCTCAAAGCTCAATTGTAAGTACGTATGGCAGTGCCTACTTTCTCCTGAACTTAATTTTTCCGGTATTTAAACTGAAACATAACGTAACAATATGTACTGCAAGCTTTATTAATATTAACATGCTGAAGTATTAACATACTTCTCCAGTTCTTGGGTTGTTTTTTCTCTGTTCTTATTTATTCTCAGTTGAATCATCAGCATCTCATTTTCTTCTTCAACTTACGTATTTCTCTTCCTGCCAGCATGCATTCTCTGTATCCAATACCCAGCACTCAGCACATTTAGTGATGTTGTGCCTTCCTCTGCTCCCAAACATAAAGGCTGGCATCTGCTTGTTTTTCTGCAGTTTATCATTAAAACTTTAAAATGATATCTTTCTTTAGTTTGATTTACTCCATCATTCAGTGTTTGATTACATTAAATTTTTTAACATAAAGTTATGTATAAAAATGGAGAGGTTACTTTAAAAAGATGTGTAAGAAGATGTGAGAACAGCATACACATTGTGAATGATATGTCAAAGATTGACAAAGTATTTGTATTTTTCTCATTAAAAGGGCACTCTCTGAGTTCTAAATCAAGAAATTATTAAAATAAATTAAGTATGCAATTCACCTGTCAAGGTCTCAGTCAGAAATTAGTATTCAGCTCGAGGATTTAGCAAGATTTAAAACCAAAATATGTATGATAAAATAAAAATCTAGGATAACTTTTTCTCATTTGCCAGATACATGTGTTCTCCTGTCAAGAACTTCTCTACTTGGCTAATCTAGACAAATATGTATTATTTATTATTGTATAGAGCTTTTTGTGGATCACAGATATTACTGTTACAGACAGTGTGCTCCACAGAAACCTGCCTGTTCCATTTTGCATGTGTAAATCATGGGAATGTCACAGCTTTCCTCTAAATTAATTGCAAACTGACCTTAGTGAGGGACTAAGTCCTCTTAGAGTAATTCTAATGCTTTTTTTTTTTGTTTTCATATTATAAACTATTGTAATAGTTAAGCATCTGTCAGCATTACAGTTATAAAACCATTTGAGAGGAGGGAGGCTTATCATACAAGTATCAGCATTTTCTGTCGCCTGAAAACTGGCATCTGGTATTTCAGCTGGGGATTCTTTCCTACATGAATTTTCAGGTACCTCCTTTTGTTTTCTTTTGGGTGTCCTTTGGTTGCATCAGGTTCCAACAACATGCTATCTAGCAAAATGCAGGCAGAGAATGATGTAACTTCATTTCTATACTTTTAGCAATATAACTGTTGTTTTGCAATGCTACTGCTATTCTATGTGCAAACCAGCTTACAACGACATATCTCATGTATCAAGTCACGTATCAATGACTGCTACTGAATGTTTTCTCATTTCTTCCACTGCAGAAAAGAACCTTTTATTTAAATATTAAGGCCCCATACACATATAAAAAGTATTCAGCTGAAGCACTTAATTTCAGTGTGGGATTTTTTTCATTCAAATAATGTTGCTGTTTTGCTTTAACATGTAGCAAAAGATTAATTTTATAATGAAAGTTTATTACTAAACTTCTGGGTTTGCTAAGCTAGACTTGATTCAGTACATGTGAAAGTACAAATACCAAGTTCAGTCCAAGATACTCTTGTCATCTGCCTAGTCCTGGTTACTATTAAAAATAGTGTCCAAATATTTAAAGGCATGCATTTTATTAGAAATGTCTTCTTCATTATACAGACTTCCAAATCCTAAAACGTCTGTGTAATTAACACACCCTTAATTTACACGTATAGCAACAGAAAGGGGGATTAACCTAGTTGTGCAAAGACAATTATATAAATAATTAAATGGAAGGTGAAGAAAAAGTTACTCCAAGGAGCACTTTGAAAAGTACTCCAGTCCCAAGGTTCTTGTAAATATTACAGATACAATATACACGAATGACTTCTTTTTTTTCTGTAGCATACAGCCCATTATGTAAGTCATAAGAAAACTGCTTTCTAGTGCACAGAAATACTACCAAACAGCTTAGGAGCGAGCTCCTCATTTCATGCAACTGTTATTACAGTAACAAGCCTGAACAGGCAATTGGAAGTAAAAGAATGACTCTTGAACTTCCTTCATAGTCAAAGGAAGTGTCTAGCCAGAAGATAATGAGCTGAAAATTACCTGTGATTCCGGTGTTAACATCTTGCTTTTACAGATTCATGACATGCTTCTTGATTAATTCTATATGCACTATCCAAAGACAGGCACCTTTTCAGTTTAGGGATCTCCACAATGACAGACTTTGAATGATGTTCTGCACTCCAAACTACACTAATCAACATCCTAGAAAGCTGCACTACAAAATCTTTTGCACAGGCAATTTGACTATTTCAATGAACTGATTATATTCTTTTTTCATTTTGTTTTTAAACAGAAAGAGAAATGTGCACAAATAAGTAACTCAAGAAAAGCTAATATGCACAAAATGCATTTTCTAAATGAAAATAAATTTCTTAACTGAATAACACTGTACCAATATTTAGCCTTTTGTACTCGAGCCTGTGATTCAGTTGAACTGGCCGTGAAGCATGCCATGCTTTGTTCACCTAACTTTTGTATCTTTGCTTGAATGGAGAGGCTTACATATTATTAATATATTTTTAAAGCAAAAATAATCCTGGGTTTCCTTAAAAGTAGCAACTGGTAAAGTGACACAACATATTGAATTAGAAACCTAGCAATGTATATCGCAATCATCATTAGTTACAACTTGAGTAGACAAACAAGAAAATGTAATTTGTGAAGAGCTTGATCAACATTTTGTATAATTGCTTACATTCTTCATAATTCAAACCACCCCAACTGTCAATACTTTCCTGTTTTATGAATCTTAATGCTGGATTCCTGTCATTCTATTAGGCTACAGAACATAATTTCTGAGCTTGTGAGCATGTTTTTTAGCTTGCAAAAGTGGCATTTAAAAATATTTGTAGTCACCACTATGTCCTAGACTTTAGAAGTATTTTAAAAGCTTAGTTCTACTATAACTATTAATATACAAGGTTAAACGTAAATATTTCGTCACTACCAAGGGAAATTGCAACTGTGTTCCAAATATTTCTAGATCCAAAATGTGAATGGTTGAATGAAATCACTGGAGTAATGGTAAGCTACACAAGCTGAGGAACTGGCTTCTAAACAGAAGCTGTAATGATTATGTGCTTTTTAGATACTTCCCTTCTCTGATTGAGATAAGTAATGTGCACACATAGTCAATATTTTAATAGCAGGATCAGTAACTCTGGCACAAATGCTAAATTTAGCATTGGGCAGATTTTGAATGGCCGGGAGTTAGCAGCTGTGACCTCTTGAGAGAGACATCTGCAGGAACATTTGTAAGAGTCAGTGCCTCCTATCTTCCTGCGCTCCTGATTTCATATATAAGCTGCTTGGCAACACACTTCATCTTTGAGAGACAGCAATTCCCAGATCATACATTTAATAGCAAAAATCAGTAAAATTAGAGGCTAGTAGCCTCTGCTTCAAGCAGAGGCTAGATGCCACCAATCAGCTTATCAGCACTGTCTTGTTTACTTAGAACTGCACCATCTCTTGGCTGTCCATGAGATTTCCCTTGGCCTGCTTTATCTCTAATCTTAGAAATAACGCTACAGTCTGCTCACCACTCCTAGCAGATTGCCAGCCTCTGGTTTCATTGATACAGGGACGTGGTGCATTTGGTACTACCTAAATACCATCATTACCTCTTTAGCTGTCCTAAATAAAGCTAAATATACCAATCATAATGATTGCAATGTAAAGTGAGATTTAAAGACTCTATGGCAATGAAGAAAATCAATATGTGTGTATATATATATTTACCAAGGAAATGGGACACTATTAGCTGTATTTAGGCAAAAGGGGAAAAATAGAGAATTAAAACATATAAGAATCAAGCTTTTAATGACTAATTACTGACTGATTATTCTAGACATGCTCAGTTTGCAGGGCACACATCTCTTCTGGACATTACGAATATCTGAAGACATGATCATTCTCTGCCTGGTATGAACAAACTTAATAAAATAATTTAGCAGCTTTATCTGCATAAAACAGTTCAGATGAATGAAGAAATGGGGAAAATCAGTGTTAAAGTGTATAAAACCAGGATTTCTCGATTCACAAGCTGCATACTGTAGTTGTCAATTTTTCACACTGTATAAATATTTATAATGAACAACAACCTTCTTTGGGGAGACTGTTATCTTACTACCTCACTGAGCAAACCTTAGGAGATATTGGAGTTCTTATCTCCTTCACTGCATTGCTTCAACAGATAATTCTACCATTCCTTACTGCAGATAGGAAGATTAAGAAATGGAAGATTTAAGATTAGTTTGTTTGCTGAGAATGGCATCATACATTGTTTTACACAATGTGTTCTGCTCAGTTCATGAACGTGGCAGAGAGATAAGTGTTTACATTTCTCATCTTCAAATAGCCTTTCTGCATTGTACTGAGTGCCACTACTACTGGAAGCCATAGCTAATCTTTTAAAGAAAACTTTAAAAGAAAACTGTTAAAGAAACCTTTGCTCAGAAAGGACCAATTAACTGGAGTTCAGGAGTAAATGAACAATGAAAATAATACTGGTCAAGTAAACATATTACATGCTAAAGCAAGAATTCAGAAATTCTGCTACTCACTTCCATAGTGTCTTTTGAAAGATAAACAACCCAGTATACCAGGTTGAATCCTGCAAATGCCACTGGAAAGAGGATCCTGGAATACTGGTCTATTTTACTTGTGCCTCCAACAGGTGGTGGTGGTGGCGGGACTGGTGGAGGAACAGATGCTGGTTGATACTGGGATGCACTATTTGATATTATGCTAGCTTCAGGAGACTGATCTGCCTGAGATGTTATGGAGTTTACTCGCTTCTTCAAGTTACAGTTGGAGTCAGAATGCTGTGGAAGAAAAAAAGGGAAAGGGGAGAAAAAGGTGAGTTTTGGATACGGTCTTCGGTTTTGTGATCATTAGGCTTCTTTCCACCTTTTTACTCAACCTGATTTTATTGCTGCTGCTTTGCTATAGAGCAACCTAAGGAAATCATAGAAATAATGCAAATATACAGAGGTACATTTGTGGCCTAAAGCTTTCCTGTAAAAACATTTAAAAAAAAATGTGCATTCCTTATTTATCAGGGTAATAAACAGAAACTAGAAGAGAGAAAGAAAAAGAAAAGATGGAGCCAAAAGGAAAAGAAGATAATGATCTATCTAAATTGTAGTATATTGGTATGGCTGAGGTTTCTGTAGACATGAATCAAGTTTAAACAAAACAGTACATATGGGCTGGCTTAAGCTCAGTCTTCACTGTGTGAGCCCATTGATGAGTTTCAGTAGATACTCACTGAATGGAGTGAAATTGTTGCACTGTTATTAGTCCCCAAACTATTTGTTGATGAACTAGAAAACTGCTGCATGAAAAGAAAGGGACTGAGTTTACAGGTGTTTAAGACAGGAATGCTAAATTGTCCTATTTTGGTTTTGTGTTTTTTTCCTAGTGTGAAATTTAATTTTCAAGTATGTAATGACTTTTCTGTATATATCTCTTTACATATTGCTCTTTTTCTTCCTCCATAACCTAGCAACACTTCCAACTTGTCATGTCCCTCCTTCATCCACTTTGCCATCTACATATTAAATGATTAGTACATTTTGGATAGATATTAAGTGGCATTCATATTCTGGGGCTGTGCCTATCTGGAACACAGATGTTTGTTTTTGTCTTTTCCAGTAACACAGCAACAACAGACAGATTTAAATGGAGGATGATCTACAGATGTGTCACAGAAACAGAAAGAGGGTTATTCATGTCCACTTGCGCTAATCATCATAATAATCCCACTCCATAAACAGACTGACAAACCAAGCCTGGGCTACTGCTCCCATTAAAGTTGCTATTCTGTTTTGCTTGTATGCCCTGCTTTGAGCTGAATTGTAGGAGTTGTAAAGTAGCTGCTTTTCACTTTACTGCAAGATAGCTTGACCTTTTGTGGAGAATGAGTGGTTCCTAAAAATGTAAGTGCTAAGGTGAATCAGCCCTTTTTATCTGCAGTATTCTGGTATAAGGTAGGTCAAATTCTGTTCTGGATCACTCAAGCATGAATCAGGAGTTATTGTACTGAGGTGATGAAGTTAAAAGTAGGCAGAACAGATGTAGCATATGGTCTGTGGATGATGTTCAGTACTGACTGCATTTAGAACGTAGAAGTAGCAAATACTTTCTGATCATCTGAATAGGCACTTGGAAAAAGTGTAATCGTGGTCACTATTTATAATATTTATTAAATCTCATTCCTGTAGAAGAGGGTTTTTCTATAGAAGGAGGATTATTTCAACTTGGTTTCATCTCAGCTTGGAGATAGGAACATTTGGAGTCAGTGTATCCTCAGAACTTGGGGAGTGCACTAACTTGATTATACTCCCACTTTGGGGCCAGTTTAAGTCCATTCTATCAACTGAGTGATAATGATAACTTATTACTTAAAATAGCCTATTCCAATATTCAGGAAAGATCAGTGCATTTTACTGTCTCAGTAAAACCACAGCTTTTTGTCATGCTCTTCACCTGCTAAGGAGATGGTTTAGTTGATATAAATTGTTAAGAAAGTTCTTGAGCAGTTCTTTACACTGTCTTTAACACCCTCATGTGCCCATCAAGCAAGTCAGCGTCACACTATTTTCCTGTCAGCCACTACCCAGGATATGGAATTTATGTCCAAATTTCCCTTAGATGTGTAAAGATGTTCTCAGTGTGTTAGCTGACTGTAGACCAGACTTGCTGCCTGAGAGCTACAGTTCGTTTTTTTTCATTGGAATTCACTGCTAAAACAAGAGGAGGAGGCAGTGAAAGGAAGCCATGTAGTTTCTTATTACAGTTGAGTTCTGAATAGCAGCTACACTAATTTGCCTACTACATTTAGATTTAACTTTTGACGAAGATTGCCTACAATGACATCATGAAACTTTAGCAAAACACAGAGAGAATAGCCTATGTTACATAGTTTACATAGCCAACCGCTCAAATAGTAAGGACTGTTTTACATGTAGAAAGAACAACTGTGTCATAATGAAATAATGAATTTTGTTAAGTTACTGAATCCTGATTCAGAGAAGTACTCTTGTTCTCATGTGGAATGTTTGTCGAATCAGGCAATTAAACTTGTCATTGTGTGTGACTACCCAGTGATACAGAAGAGATTGAAAGATCACTGCTTAATGTGAGATGCCATAAAACTGGACTAGACAAAGACTGGTACGTATATGGGCTAAGTAAGCTACAGTCTTTTGCAGCTCAGCTATCTGATCCTCTAGAAAGCTCACAAAGCTGTAGCATCATGTCTATAAAGCTGCTGTTCACTCACAACTCTCATCAATATCACTAGAATTTGCTCAGAATATCTCAGGAGGCTTTCAGCAAATTACTTGGCTTCCAGCTTTAAAAAAATACAGCATATATATAACCATGAAATAAAAAGATTTTTTCTGCTTTTTCTGATTTTTATATGGATGCTAATAGTGATTTATGAATGTGCTTTGTACTTATGTTTCTTTTCTGCAAGAGATTTCTGTAATTTGTATTTGTAAAATTTTCTACCGTTCTCTGTTCCTTTGTACTGCAAATACATATTCCACTATCAATTCTGTTTATGACCCAGCAGTAACATGAGTATCTTATATAGGCACTCAGATACCGGCTAAGTAAACAAATGAGTACCTGTACGTCCTCTTTTATTCACTTATGTCTCTCTTTCCTGCAGGCAATGTAGTAAAAAAGGGTTCATAAGAATAAACTCTAGAAGTTTAGACAAAAAACTGTGTTATTCCTCCTCTTCTTTATAATTTATTGGTTTAAGTATATTGAAGTCTGCTGATACCACAAAACACACCAAAAAACACTAGGAAAAATGCTCAGTGTCTGTACATGGCAGAATACTAAATGAAATATGTAACATTCTTTTTCCCTGCCTGTATCATTAGTAGATAAAATGTCAACCATTCATATTGTACACATAAAATTGCATGCTAATGACTTAGCTCCCAAAGAGGGAGAGTTAAGCATAGTTTAGCCCCTAGATTCAATAGTGTGATCTGTAAAAACTCTGTTTAGCTACTGAACAATCCATATGCAGAACCACACAGCAGGGAAGTTCGCCACATTAGGTAGAATCTCCTTTTGGGCATGCATCAGTCTTTACAGTCTTGTGCAGTTTAAGGATCCATTTCATGCTAGAGATTCATTATAACATATAATTTAGACATTTCTTTGCACATCTCATCTGTGGGATCTGATTCAAACCCAGTGTATTGGAAACATCTATACATGATGTTCTGAATAATTAAAAGCTCAATCAAGTTTAGACATCATTAATAGTCCTACCTTTAGGTATCTGTCCTGGTTTCAGATGGGATAGAATTAATTATCTTTCTAGTAGCTGGTACAGTGCTGTTTTTTGGATTTTTGAGCTAGAAAAAAAGAGCCTAACGTTTTAGTTGTTGCTAATCAGTGCTTACTCTAAACCAAGGACTTTTCAGTTTCCCATGCTTTGCCAGTGATCAACTGCATAAGAAGCCAGGAGGCAGGACAGCTGAACTAGCCAAAGGGATATTCTGTACCACAGAACATCATGTTTAGTGTAGAAACTAGGGGAAGTTGGCCAGGGGTCACTGAACACTGCACAGGTATGGGCTAGGTAATGGTCAGTGGATGGTGAGCAATTCTATTGTGCTCACTTGTGTTTCCTGAATTTTATTCCTTCTCCTCTCTTTTTTCCATTATTTATTTCTCATTATTGTTTACTTCATTGCAATTATTAAACTGTTCTTATCTCAACCTTCAGGTTTTATCTTCTTCAGATTCTCCTCCCCATCCCACTCTGGGGAGCAGGGAAGAGTGAGCAAGCAGCTGCATGGTATTTAGTTGCTGGCTGGGGTTAAACCACAACAGCATCTTTTAGAAATCCTGTGTCCTTTACTAGGAGTACTAAGAGGAATAACATGCAAATTTATTTTCTTTGTGTTTTAGCCTAGTAAAAGGATTAAGTCATTTAGGTTAAATTACTCACTCAAAGCAAGGGAAAGCCATGTTAAAATTCTTTCTTAACCTTAAGGGATTGAAACTCACCGCTCAAAATATAACCTAACCCTCACGTGAAGGTGATTAGTGGGAGAGGTTGTTACCTTATTACTTCAGAGCTGTTTTACTTTGCATGGAAATTCTGAAGAGCCATTAGAAGCAGAAAGAATAGCTTTGAAAAATATACTATGTACCCATTGTATTAAAATTGCTGTCATATAAAACAGGTAAGCACTAAGGACAGCAGAGACTGGAATCCTGGTAATTCTCTTTTCAATATGAATATGTGTGGTAGAATCTCTTCCTAACTTTTCTATGTAGCATATCAGGAAAATAATAATGTAGTTAGCACAGACCCTCTGTCAAAAAATATATTCATGTTAAATAGTTTTAAATGTTCAAAGTAGTGTTTGGCTCTTAAACTTATCAGTGTCGGTCCAGAACTACCCGTCTCTACATTTATTTCGCTAAATTTGCGTGGCATGGAGAAACTACTGCTTTGAGTGTCTAACTGAGACAATTACACAGACAGCACTAGGGAGGTTGATTTGTTAGTTTTTCTCAAACTTAATATAATTTTGTACCTCATCTCCCCTTTCACAAAAGGTACTGGGATTAGACTTCCATGTTGAAAAAAAAAAAAAATAATGTCTAAATCTTTATTTTGGTGTGTGTTATTAGCTACTTCCAAACCTTCTTTACTATCCTGCACTGGCTTTGTCAATCAGACAAATATTTAACTTGGAACCAAATAATCAGTATCTACTTTCCTTGTTGGGATGACAAAAAGTCAATGTAACTAAAAGTTGAGGTTTGTTTTAAATAATGTACTTGATAACCTCCAATTATATAGGCACAGGAAGATCTCCCTAATTTGTTGAAAGTGCCGTTTTCTCAGTCAAAACTTTACTGCCTATAGCTGTTTCCAGGATGATCTCAGAAAGGACTGTTGATAATCCAAATTATTTCAGTTATGCTAGGGTACTCATTAGACATACTCAATATATTCTGACACGATTATAGAAAAATAATCCCCTATACCAAAGTGACATAAGGCTGCTCTGCAGTTGGGCAATGTTATTAAATAGAATAAGAATCCTTTTCTGCCCAAGCCATGTTTTTTGAAACACAGGGACAAGGCTATTTGTAGGGAGAAGGAAACTCTCCCAGCAGTATTTTTCAGTGCTCTTTGCTGTTTTCTGTTAAAACAACAGGTCTTTCAGAACATAACTATAATCAAGCTACCACCCTGTAATAATCTTTTGTCTTTTACATGTACCCTCTCACATAGAAAGAATGTCTTTTGATCCATGGTGAGTACTCCCTGACCATCTCACAGAGCATTACTTCAAATGGTGTACTACAGACAGTATCACCAATTTCCCTCCCCCAGCGTATTTCCAGTATTAGGATATTCCTGGACAAAGGAAGCCATAATGATGAAATAATAGGATTGATACAGAAAATATACAAATTGGAATGGCTTAAAAAGATGAATGCCATAATGGTTTATATATATATATATGTATATGTGTGTGTGTGCATAACATTTGTTTTTGACATGCTAGAATAAGCTTGATCACCATATGAATAGAACCAGGTTTCTGTCAAGGTCCAGATGACTACTCAGCTTGTTGCCATCGTATTTTGGAGTGGAACACCCATAGTTTTGTATTTCATGCAGGGATTGCCTGCAGCTGACAAAGAGAGCAAGCCAAATTCTGCTCTCAGTTAACTGAGGTAAATAGAGTGGTGTTCCTGGAACTAGACCAGGCATGCTGGGCTGTCATCAGTTAACAGAGCACACAGTCAGACCATTGTCTCTCTTACTGAAACCAGTGTAGTCATTACTTGAGTAGAGTTTCTCCTACTTTTATTAGTACAGTAGAACAGAATTTGGTCTTCTGCTATCTTTTCTGAGTGCACAGGTTCTTTGTGAAAAAAAAGTTTTGTTAATTTGAATAAAGCACGATTTTACATAACATTAACTAGACTGAAGAAGGAATGAGGCTTTTTGGTACTATTTTGAAAGATTTTTGAGTTTTTTCTTTCATTGTCCTGGGTTCAGCAGTAGCAGTCATTTTTTTCTCCTTCTTAGGAGCTGGTGCAGTGCTGTGGTTTTGACTCTCAGCCTGAGAACAGCACTGATAACACCAATGGTTTTAATTGCTGCTCAGTAATGTTTACTCTGACCAAGGACTTTCTGAGTCTCATGCTCTGACAGGGAGCCGGGGTAGCCAGGAGGAAGCAGAGAGAGGACACCTGATCCAGACTAACCAAAGAGGTGTTCCCTACCACAGCACGTCATGCCCAGTATATAAACTGGGGGCAGTTACCTGGAAGGGTTAGATCACTGCTTGGTTGGGCTAGGTATCCATAGGCAGGTTGTGAGCTGTTGTATTCTCTTCCCTTGTTATTTCCCATATCATTGTTATTATCGGTGGTAGCAGCAGTGATTTGTGTTATACCTTAGTGACTAAACCGTTCTTATCTCAGCCTGTGGGAGTTACATTCTTTCAATTCTCCTCCGCAAGCAAGGGGGAGGAAGGGGGCGAAGGGAGAGAGAGGGCAGCTGCATGGTTCTAAATTATGGTTGGGCTTAAAGCATGACATTCAGGAAGATAGTTAATTTGAAATGAAAAAAAGTATTCTGCAAATACATCTATCTTGATGTTTGGGCCCTCACTCAAGCAGCAGTGTGTCAAACCATTCTAACTGGATGGTTTATAACTTTGAATTTTCTTTCATAGCAAAAGTGTCTTTCTGGGCTTCTCTTAGGCAAAACAGGAACGGGTCTCCTGTCATACAGAAATTCCTAGTTCAGATAACCTTCTTATGATTAACTCAAATCTGAATAAGGAAGTGTCCAGTGTTAAAATAAACAGAGATGTGAACATTGCAAATATTGCAAATCTCAATCAGCCTTTCTGCTGTCACTTCAAAATCCGTGCAAGGTTCTGCAAGTATTTGTTTCCAACCTCCTTCTAAATTTTTTGGCCTTTCTTTTGTATTTTTTTCCATAACTGTGGTTAAAAAAAAAATTAAAAAGCTGTGGTTCTGAGCCAAAATATGTAAAGATTTGCTTGGTTTTGCATTTATATATTTAGTAAAAATAAAATGCATTATTTTAATATAGCTTACAATGTATTCAGATTTATTTTTTTAATATTAATAAAATTTTAAGCAAAATACAGTGGCTTACAAGCCCACTGCTTCCCAGTTGAAGAACATCTGCTGATTAGCTCCAATGCGGACCAGTAGCAAAATGCTGTGGATCTTTGCTTTCACTATAATATGGAACTTATCAATTATGAATTTAACAGTTAAATACACCTGAATGTTCTAACTTTAACTGCTCCTTATAAGCAAACTTGGGAAAATTACTTTATGGTGGGTAAGGTGTTGCCTTGATAATACTCAACAGCTCTTGGACTTCCTTATTCAACTAGAGACTCAAAGGTTTTGCAGAAGGTCATTGAAATTCTGTTATTCCTCTCAAAATGGAATTTTGTTCCTGAAAACAGGAGGGCTATAGTGATACATTTATTAACATATGTTGTGAGACAGCATTCATTATTTATCGCAAGATGTAAGGAATAATATTTATAAGCAATTCTGACATATTTTTTGATACTCGAAAGCCTTGCTGTCTTTTGCATGTACTAAAATTTATCCTTAATCTTTACATTTATGTTTGGTTGTTTGGTGTGTTTTTTTTTCCCCAAGCTTCCACCAACACAGATTTTTATGAAAATAACAGATGCCAAGTTTATATAAAGGCTAATTCCTCTTCTTTCAGATGACCCACTTATGGTATGTACCAGTGTACTACAGTGATCCCATAATCATCCGGCCAATGCACATGTTCATTGCATTGTACATCATCCCACAAATTCTTCAGACTTACTGAGAGAACCACAGCTGCCTGACCACACTGCCTACAGCATTGCTCAAGAGAAGTATTATGGATAACAGCCTAATGGCTTTCCTTAAATATCTTACCAAATAAACATCTTTCTAGTAAATCATATCTCAAATTTAAATAGGCAGTATGGATAAATGAAGTATTTTCATTTTCTCAAATAAGAACAATATCTTTGATAAATAGACATGATATGGTTACATAATCTCTTTCAGGTTAAGATCATTTTAATATTGTTTTGCATTCACTACTTCAGCTGCCTCTTCCTATATGATGCTTATTATCAGAAAAGCAAGCAATTACCGAGACAATCTCGTCCTCTGCCGGTACAGTTGCTGCTGATAGTGCTGCTGCCAGTGCTGCTGCCCTGGCTGCCTTCCTCATTGCTCTCTGAGTCTGAAGATTGGTAAAGTAGTTGACAGCTGCAAACTCAATAAGTGCAGAGAAGACAAAGGCAAAGCACACAGCTATGAACCAATCCATTGCGGTAGCATAGGACACCTTGGGCAAAGAATGGCGTGCACTGATGCTTAAGGTGGTCATTGTTAGAACTGTAGTGATTCCTTGAGAAGAAGGGAAAGAAAATGGCGGCATTAGAACTTTGCTTCAACCCTGCTACTCTTAAATTCATATATATTAAAAAAAAAAAAATAATCCAACAACTCCTTTTTGGTTTTAGCTGTCATCCTACAAAGCAGCTAAACAACAAGACTGCTTTTTATATTCCTGAATAATTCACTGCCTTAAGCATCTAAAAGTTCTGAACAAACTTTAATACATTGAGCAGACTGAAAATTAATATAACTAAATACTACATGATGCAGCTTCTTAGACTTGTGATAAACATGGGTATATCAAAACACAGGCTCAAACTATGAAAGGCACTTTACTTGAGGGCTTAGTAGGTGGACTGTTTTGCAGAAACCTAAATTAACAGACTGTCATTTCCCAAAAATGATCCCCTCTTTTCTCCTGTTGTTGCACAAGACAGAGCGTGGCCTACAGAACCCTCACTGAATCAATCAAATTCTGCATTAAAAATCAGTGGTAGGCTATGGTCCAAATATTCAAAAAAACGAGTTTGGTCCTCTGTGCTACTGTCTTTCATCACTGGGTACTTTAAGATTCATTAACAGTACCTTGATTTGAAAGCTCCTGTAGTTGCAAATATGGAAGGACAGAAAAGCTACTTCTCTAGAGCTGCTTATGTATTTTCACAAAGCTGGTGTTGTTGTTCATGGGCCTCACAGTGTTCTTCAAGTGAATTCATGAATTTGTTCTTTCTGTTTTGAAGTGTATAATATTAATAATGTAGGAAATATACCCACTTCTCACAGCTGCTTGATACAAGCAAAAAGCGCAAGAACAAACTCATTAACATATAAGCCTCTGTGACTCATGTTTACTTATGCCTGCTAGAATGTGAAAACTGATGGTATTTAAAGGCATTAAGGTGGAGAATAGCCTCTTCTGCTTTTTTTCTGCAGTAGGGAATGGGTAGGTGGGAAAGTAAAAGATGTTATAATGCCATGTTGTGATGATGAATCAATATGCCATGAATGATGCTCAGTGGAAAGGATGCAGTGTCATTGCATATTGCAGCATCAAGACAGGGTGACTTGATTATTTTCAGAGGGTTTTCTGCAACTGTTTCAGATGATGTAGCTTGCCAGCTGTCTGAGGTTAACTACGTCCCAAAGTCATTACTTAACATGTTTTAATGAAATGCAAATAGGAGATGGTATAAAAACAAGCAGGATCTCTACTTCTCCCAAATCTGCCAGGCTCATTTTATAATATGAATACAAGTGTGCCGAGATACATTTCAATTTCAAAGGTCCAGAATTAACTTTTCAATATGATGTGTGATTAGATTAGAATCTGTCCATGTGCTAGTTAGTAATAAAAATGATATATTCTGTGTCTGAATAAAAACTTACTGCAGTGGGAATTTAAACTCAGGAATAGGACTCCTATTGCAGATATAGATAAGACTTTTCTCAGTGTGGAGTGAATGTTGATGAAATGCTCTGCACTGTGGAAAACTACTTTGTCAAACTGAATGCCAAATTATAGTTGGTAAACTGTGTAACTGATGATTGTTTACCCTTGTCTTTCCGCTTTGAACACTTCTTGGTAAGTTTTGAAGAATCTGTTACATAATGCAAATATTGAAATATGCAATCATTTCCTGCTAAAAAGTGAAACAACAACAACAAAAAACCCACCTTTGCTATCTGAGACTAGATATTAATTTAAAATTCCCAGGGTGACCTGCTGGGATGGTAGAAGCTGACTACTGTCTTTCTGCAAAATAACAGATGAACTTTTTGCTAGCAACAAAAAAGATTAGATAAAGGCACATAAAAATGTGAAATAATAGCCATTGTTACTTGGAGTCAGAGCATACTTAAAATTAGACCTCCAATAAACATGCTTCTTATTCTAAGTTATTTCTGATAATGCCATGCTTCATAAAACTTCACACATATATATACATATATATGTGTATGCGTAGCTACATACATAGCTCCACATTAAATAAGGAACTTAATACCAGCAATCTGCTGTTCTTTCCAAGGACACAATTATAAAGAACACAAGAGTGCCTCTTCAAGTATTTCTGTCTCCCATTTTTCACTTGCAGGTCTGTAAAGAGTAGATCATTAATTTATCTTTGCAAAAATATTCAGAGTATTTATTGTAATATTACTTGCAAAGGATAACTGGCATCCTGGAATGGATAATTGGCATCCATTTTGGAGGTAAATGTTGCTAAATTAATTGGTTCTGAAAGATGTTTTTTGCACATGGTTGTTATTCTTCTACTGTTAATTTATCTTCTCTCAAACTTACAGTTTGGGAACTTGGAAGTAAAACTGAAAATTTATAATTCAAGTAATTGCAATATAATGGAGAAAGGATACTGACTTCTCCATTTTAAATAAACACCACTGGTGTTTACTGTTTTTTTTTCTGCTGGGGATCGAAAGTCTTTTTTGTTATACGGAATTTGTCCTCTTTTCCTTAGACGAAGCTATTCAGAATCCATGGGATTTTGAATTAGTAAGGACTATAAATTCAGACTGTGCCTGGGAGAAATAAGAATGGAGCAAGGATTGAAATATTCTTCTAAAATGCCACCATGACTAATTTTTCACAATACCAAGAAAGGTGTCTATTTTACTATTTTCATAAAATATAATCTGTTTCTAATTCTATGTTTACTCTTCAGTATGGTATCTAAGAGCTGTTATTCCAGTGTTTGGGGTATCTATGTCTTTATTCCTGAATCAGCTAAAGACTTATTTGCACATTACTTGAGCATATAGAACTGACTTTCACTGCCCACTAGGTAACAAATACGTTTTACTCAAAATGTAGAGGATGTAACTTTAGCCCAGAGATGCAATATAAAGCCAAATCAGGTGGCATCATGTTTGGTGTACAAACCTTCTACATATTTTATGCTTCGACTGCAAAACAAATCCTGGAAAATCTATTGCCTGATATTTTTATATTTTTAAGCATGTAAAGAAATCCCAGTTGCCAGATAATAATACTTTTAAGTGCTTAATGATCCCAAACTGTACCCTAGCTCCTAATGAGAATTTCAAGAACAAAAGTGTTGATCTTCCCTCAGAGGCACCTGAGGAAGTTGTGCTCACTTCACATTCCTAGAAGTCTGCAGTTTTTATGAATACCATTCCATGCAAATAGGAAATGCCAACTAATTGAAATAAATTGGCAAAAAATCTGTAGCCTGCTAACTACAATTATAGACTTGTTTTTAATTATGAGACTTGTATCATTTATGCTTAGGGAACATACAGCTGCCTTTTTGTTTCTGAAGACAAATGTCATAAAGGGAACTTTTTTAATACAAATACTACATTAAGAGACCATAGGGTTGCAAAATGTTTGTGTATGGATAGTGGACTCATGAAGTTTTTGATAAGTTTTATTACTTTTGCTTAGTATTTTTCTCATAGTTTTTCTAGAAACAATTCAGTCAGTGAAAGTTACCTCTTAAGGAGTGCAGTTGCAGAGCATATCACTATTGCAATTGGCAGGGTTTGTGCCATTTAACAGCAGAGCACACAGTAGAAATTAAGGAGACAAAACCCACAGCTTTGGGAGCATTAATTCAAACCCCTGGAAAGAATCTGCAATGTGGACATGCCTTTCACGTTACGACTCCATCCTGTGCTAGGGACAGTATTCATCTCACCTTACTTTATTTGTCTAAATTCCTTGCTAATTGTTTAGATAACTTTGCAGACAAGGAAAAGAGAGCACTTCAAAGTGCTAGATGTGGTACCTTATGTCAGATGAGGTTAATTCCACCTTATGTAGTTTATTTTTTTCTTAAAGCTTTAACTCAGATTGGTTTCAGAAGCTAATAAATCAATAGAAAAATACCACTTTAAAAGATAGAGAGGTTGACATTTACTCTGGAATTGTCCCTTCCTGCATACAGAAAATATACTGAGGAGAAAAAAACCACCACAAACAAGTCTGGTTAACTAAACATTCTGATTAAAGAATTTTGACCCCTGTGGGCAGGTAGAATATTATTTGGTTTAATTTTATTATTTACTTTTGTTCACTGAAACCTACTAGCTGTCTTTTCCAGTCCCCATTGGATTACAGTAGCTGTTTGATGCAATGGATTCCATACAGTGAATGAAGTGAATGATAAAAGAACAAAGCACAAATACCAGCCACAGTTCTCGCTGGAACAGATTCTTTGTTGATCCAAAACACAACTTGAGACAGGACTACAGTCATGATGCATGGAATGTATGTCTGAATGAGATAGTAGCCTATTTTCCTTTGAAGATGGAAATAGAGCAGCTGAAGTGAATATTCGCCTAAAATAAACAAGCAATGAAAGTAATGAATGAATGGTATATGTGATGCTGAGCTGTTCAAAGATCTTAACGCAGCATACCAAAAACTGTTCTGGCTGGAACAGATTCCTTATTAATCCAGAAAGACACCTGAGAAAGAACGACTGTCATAATGCATGGAGTATATATCTGTATCATGAAGTAGCCCATCTTCCTTTGTAAGTGGAAATAAACTGTCATGATTACATATTCACCTGTTAAGAGACAAGTATGTCAGCATTATTTTGGCAACATATAAGTAATAATTATTGGCTTAAACCCAACATGCTGTGTTCTGAGGAAAGCACTTACAGGCCTTCTGCTGCATAATAAAAATAAGCTGATTAAAAAAAGGTAACTGACCTCATGGAAACAGAAGAGAATAATATTCATTTTATGTACTGCTTTTACTGGGGAAGGGAGACAGGGGAAATTCTGAAGAATTGCATGAAAAATTGTATGTTTAAAGAGACTGTATTGAAAAATCTTTAAAGAGATAATGGTTAGAGTCCTTCCAAGTATTAAGTATTTTAGTTTTTAAAGTGGCAAATGATATTTAGACTAATTCAGTTCTACATGAAAAAGAACCGCAATTTATTTTGAAGATGTTTATAATGTCAGTAGTTCTCACACAGCTACGTCTTACCTGTGTTAGATTTAATTGTTTCACTAGATACAGTTTGTCCTATGAGGTCATACTGGAGGAGACTGGAAGACTCCTGTGGTACTTCTACTGAATGCAGGGGTCCTTTTTTCCATGTATAAATTATTTCACTTTTTGGGTAAGCATCTGAATTATAGAGGGGGAAATTAAATTATTAATTATGTAATTTATAAACAGTTGAAAAAATACCTGATCCCGTTTGTGGCTTGAATATCTACAGCAACATGTATCCTGCTCCAACAACTTCCCAACCTCATTAATACCAAAATGCAAAAAAAATCACCAGTAAGAGAACGGCTGAGGTGGGACCAGATAGACACCAGGTTTTGTTTCTTAATTTTCTATGAAGCACATGCATAGATTACCACTGCTCAACTACATATTTTTGAAATCAATTACCACAGATCAACTAAATATTTGCACAACTAAATGTAGTAAATGTATCACAGCTTTTATGACTTGCTGATGGATCCACTTTGACAACTAGGTATGTAAGAATAATAATAAAATATTCTACAAGTCACCCTTCAGTGAACAAATCCATGTCCCTATGAATAGTCTGAGTCTCAGAAGAGAAAGTAAGGTTCTGGGATAAAAAATATCGTAAAATATCTCAGCTGTATCACCTCATTAAGTAGTGTTCTAGGATCTCATTTCTGATCCTCTCACATACAGGTAGACCAAACGTATTACTATAAAAAGCTGAAAGATATAGAAAAACTTACAGCTTCCAAACTTCAATGGACAAGCATGTCCATCCATAGGGAAGTTCACCAACCGCATAGGACAATCAGCATTAATGGTTAGTCTAGAATACATTATAGTAGATGACAATGAAAAAAAGTGGAATGTGGGAACACTGCTGAAAGACTCAAAAAAAAAGGTCAATCAAAAGTGAAAGAACAGGCTCTCACCTCATTGTGTAAAGAATAGTTCCATTCTGCATAATTCTGAAAAGTTTGTTAGGAGTTGTCATATTATGAGCAATTGATTTTTTTCCATTTCTAAAGAACGTGTCTGGTGTCCAAATTTTACTGACCATTAAATTATTCAATCTCAAAATTTCAGTTGGCCCACTAAACTTCAACCTCTCATCAGTCCACGTCTGCCGAAAGAAGACGTCCATTGTGTATTCCTATGGAAAATGAATAGGTGGTTGACTTATGTGTTTGGGTCAGCAGTCCCAAGTTACTGTATATACAGTAACTCCATGAAAGAACCTACCACATGTGTCAATGGCATTTCATTTACTACTTAAACACTTAATCCTATTACCATTAAGTAGGTATTAAAAAAAAAGTAGTCTACAAGAACATACCCTAATTTCTTTTTATTTAAATAATAGCTACAAATTAGTGAGTGAATGAATAATTTTATATGAGTAAGGAAAATAAAATCATTGTCCTCTCAGAAATAGTAATTTATTTCAAAGTGACTGAGGTCTAAGAAAATACAAATGTCTAATTTAGTATCATTTCAAAGTGCAAACACAATGTTTAATTGCTAGGAACAAAAAGACATGCTCAGTGCTTCTTCTGCTTGTTTCTTTGGATACTGACAAAGAAAGGACTGATATGAGTCAGATCACAGTAAGGTTATTGTGTCAGGTTAATATTAGTCCAAGGAATTCTCTAAAGTCAATTAGGAAATGGGGCTAAACCTTGGCTGAAAGCAGATTTTGTAAGGTGGCAAAGTTATTCCTTCCCTTATACTGACTGATGAAGAGAGGTGGAAAAAGCTTTTGGTTTTATCTTGATGCCCATAGTTCCTAGCCTGCAAGCTGGATTGCAGGGGGGGGGGGGGCGGCTGCTGTAATTGGCAGACTTAACCCATGTCTGCAGCTACCTGACTTTGGGGCACCCAGCATGACAAGGAACAACAATTTCAGACATGGCACTGTGCCCCTACAGCTACATGTTATGTTATTTCCTACCATGCAGACTTGATGGTGTCAGGCAAACCTATGCGTTGGGCCACGGATGCTTACAATCTTCTTAATGAGGTTAAAGAGGCATCTTTGACCTCCCATCAATGCCCTCACCTGGGGTTAGTGCTGCATTCCGTGCTCAGGCTTGAGCCATGGGCTGCCCTGGCTGACTCTGCTGGGGAAGTATCTATATGCAGTTCCAGACAAACGGCTCTGTTGGGCCTGAGAGATTGTCAGGAAGATTAAGCCTCGTAATCTGCTTTAATGACGGTCAACTCAGATGGCACCATAATGAATCCCGGGAAAGGGGAGCAGGGGCGGCAAGTGGGGCCCTTACCATCTCCACGTCGGACACCGGCCCAAAGCTGGTCACGTAGATGTCCGTTTTGACTTCAGTCACAGCGCCTGCGGGACACGGAGACACGCTGGGCGCGGAGCGGGGCCCCTCGAGGCACCGCGGCTCCGGGACCACCAGCAAGAGACGGCGGGCTCGGGGCTGGCGGGGCGCGGGACTCTGCCCTCTTCTGCCGCCCGCTGTTGGGTTTCACTGCCTCCCTCCTGCCAGGTGCGGGACGGGACGGGATCCTCCTCCCCTCGCCAGCTCGGCCCCCCCGCTCGTGCCCCCCTCCCCGAGCCGTGCGCTCCCAGGCTCCCCGAGGGGACTGGAGTTCCCTGTACCTCCGAACCCCGGCCGCAGCCTGTTGTCGTAGCCGTCCAGCAGCTTGTCGAGGATCCGAGTGATGTTTTCCAAGTAGAGGTCCCCCCCGCCGCCCTGGTCCCCCAGCACCGCCGCCGAACTGCGGGGAGAGGCGAGTCCCGCAGTCAGACCCCTCGGGCCCCCGTCCCAGCGACTCAGCCCTTCCTCCCGGCGTGCGCCCGTCGAGGGCCCTGCCTTCTGGGACAGCTGAAGTGGGAGAGGACCCCACCGTTTCCCCCCTCCCGCTCCTGCAGGCTGCGGCGGGGTTTGAGGGAGCCTAAGGGGGTTAGGGGGGAGCTCACTCACCTCACAGCGAGGCATACCCAGGCGATGAGCAGAGCCATACCTCAGGTATGTGCCAGGACGCTCAGGTGCCCTCAGACCAGTCAGCTGGAGCAAGTGCTGGGGCTCATCCTTCCTCTCCCGGCCAGGGGCTCCGCCGGGCGGGGATGCCCAGAGTGAGGTGGCTTACGCCCTTCCCCGTGGCCCTCGGCTGCCCTCTGCCCGGATGGGGAGGTGGGGAGTCTGCAGCCGCTGGTGTCCTTTGGCTCCAGCCTCCTCTGACTGCTCCGGTGGGGAGCTCTGGTCTGAAGGGACGGTGCGTGGCCGGAGAGCAGTGACAATAATCGAATAAGGCATTAGGGGAGATTAAAAGGAAGAAATCCACTGCTAGTTTTGGCATGGAATTAGCAGGGACCCGTTAGGAAATCTGGAAAAGCGCTGGCATCTTGCTGATAGAGATTATGTTAGAAATGGCCTCGGCTTTTATTATGTTTATGGTTCACAGGGAGATTATTATGCAGCTTCGCATCATTAGAACTTTGGGGAAAAACAGAACAAACCAAAAAACCACCTACAGTTTCCAGTTTACTGTTTTTATTCACCTTTCTCAACACAGCTGCTCACGATCAATCCTTCAGAGATGTACAGAGCGCTTGAATATCTAAACATTACTACATGGACACTGGACAGTGAAAGTTGGGTCTGGTTCAGGTTTTGAAATTGTTTTTATTTTTTTTTTATTTTTTTAATGCTAAGCTGTTTTGGAGGGTTACATACACAGATTTCACTCGGACTTTAAACCAGGGCATTACTAGGACTTTTGTTAGAATTGGAGCTCCTTACTTTTAAACCGCTGGGATTGTAGATCATTACTAATTTTGTCCTGATAAGTACTGACTGGACCATTACTGTTCCTTCCTTCAGTAAGTGTGTTAATGTAGTCAGTCTTGAAGGAAAAGAAGTTCAGGCTGCTCCAGCTTTTCCTGTGACCTTACTACTTCTTATAAAGCCAATGAATGGTGTAGCACCTATGTCATTCTGCTACACTGTAAACAAAGCAATTGAGTCAATTTTCTTCCCTTATGGTAACACAGAGGAACACATAGCTAGACCAAAGGAAATTAAGCGTTTTCATAAAATTTAGTTGTATAAACCACATTTGCATTACCAGCTTCTAAGCAAATACTTTTAATTATCTAGCAATGGAAAGTAAATATTTGCATGAAACTAGGAGAATCGTGTATATTTATTCAGTAGTAGGACTTGCTGAAGTCCATCACTGGGGTTCTGTGCTCAGGTTTTGTGTTTAAGAGAGATCGTGATGCTACAAAACCAAAGGAATATAAGAACATTATTAAAAATACAGGCTATTCTCTGTCACTGAGTGCCTTTCCCTGTTGTTGTGGGCTGTAGCAGCATATAATCCACATAGGTGGGCTGGTTGCACACAGCCAAAGTGCTGGCTCTGCCTTTGAACAGTGGTGAACCCAAATTCTTGAGAGGCTTTGGTGCTTTATGAATACACAAATGTGATCTCTGTGACTTCACCATGAGCTAGTAGTGTTCTGTATTTCTGTTGATACTTGGAACCATTGATCTGCATGAATTTATTCACAGACAATAGTGCGGCATTCATGAAAAAATCAAAGGCTTGTATGAAATGATAGGTAGAAAAGGGAACAGTAGAAAAAGGAAATCAGCAAATAAGAACCTTCTGGGGGTTATGCTCTTCTATCTGCTCCTGATTTAAAACCTGACAGTTTGAAACTACCCAATTTTTCAAGTATGTTTGATCTTACTGAGATGTTTGAGGCTTTTGTGTGCACTACTCTTCTCGGAACATTAAAACCACAGTTAGCATATAAACATCACTAATACCCATTGTTGCAAATATGCTTCCATTAGTATTAGATAAAAACATTTTAAAGTTGTGGGTTTGGGTTTTTTTTTCTTTTTCTGCCTCCACTGGATCACTTTGTTCACTTCTAAGACATTAATGCTCTGTAGCTTACCTTACGTCTCCTGCTGGAATAATGTCCCTTTCCTTTTCAAATGAAAGGAAAAAGAATTCCTGGCATAATGTTAGCAGGAGTATTTTAATTTCATTCAGAAAATGTGCAAGAGGAGCAAACTTTTTAAAATTAAGCCCATGCTTTGTCCAGTCAGCATCTCTCATCTTAATTGCACCCATCCTATTTGTCTTCTTCTAAAAGGTTTATTTTAGCAGCTTCTTTTAATAAGCATCTCCTGAGCATTAAAAGCCCAGTGTTACATTGGGCCACCAACCACTCCTTAATTCCTTCACTTTTCTTTGTTGTGAATTAGACAAAAACACATTTTCTGTTAATCACATAATTTACAACTGCCATTTGTTCAATAGCCCCTGTTCCAAATTAGACTTCTCTTGTGTAAAAAAGACAGTCTGTTTCATTCACTAAGAGTAGACTAAGTTGTGAGTCAGAGAAATGGAATAGTTGGGGGTTTCCCTCTGGAAATCTGGGGAGATTGATACATTTACTTTTTTTGGACCAAGTCAAACCTACAGTATGGAAGCTGTCCTGGGACATCTGTGATTGTCTTACAGATAAAGCATCCATGTAAACACAGGGTTTAAGAAATTTGCGTTTAGATATATGCCCACCTGTGGAAGCCTACTTCAACACTTATTTAGACTGAAAGGTAGGTGCTCTGTGGAGAAAACAAAGAAAGAAAACTGAGAACAGAACCACCATATGAATTTAAATGTTCTAGGAGTTCACTGTACTCAGTTTATTCTTTCACTCAAGGAAAGGCAAGATAAAGGGATGATTTTAACAGATAAACGATTCACTACTTGCCTTCAAAATGAAAATATATACAGTGAAACTTGTCCTCAAACTGGACAGTTGTGTTGAATCCCAGCCATCAGAAATGTGAGGACTAGCAGTGGCATGTTTAGTTATCCAAACTTAGTATCACTACTGTAAGGAGCACAGTGCACATCTCTTGATGCCAGCTTGCATCCTGAAAAGGATAATTTACATCAGTAGCAAAGTAAATTAGCAAGGGATTCTGTGCTACACATCTATTCCCTTTTAGTGTCTGAGCTAGCTTTTGGACTGCTCCACAGCACTGGCCTTTGCTCTGTTGTTATACTGCTGTTGGCGTTAATTAATTAATGCCATAAATAAAGGAATGCAAGTTGCAGTTTGGGAGCTGGGTGTGAGTCCAAATGCAGGGAATCAATATGAATTTAAAGCAAATCCAGCTTAATGTGTGTACTGAAGAAGCTAGAGGAAAGCATACATGTGCATCAGCTTGAAGGCTTCCCAGACCCCCTTAGCTGTCTACTGTTAGCTCACCTCTGAGCTAACACCTCTCAGCAGTTCTTGCATGGCAGAACAGATCTCAGATAGCAAGGCAGAGAACTTGGACAGACAAGTGGACTGCAGTGTTTGAATGAGCTGCATAATTGCAGTCTGGAATTTCCCTGCAGGAAAATGACCTGACAGTATTATTTGTAAGGAATTTGCGGAGAAGAGTCAGAGATAGCAAAAAAAATCTCAAAGCCATTCAAAATATTCCAGCCCTGATCTCTAAGATGTTAAAACCATCCTCTGCATGGTAAAGGCAGTAGAAGGGACTTTACTGTCTGTCACAGAGCTAAATGGTTTCATGAGCTGAAATAGCCTTTGGATAGATTTTTTTAAAGCTAGTTTAACTGGAACTTTCAGTTCAAAACCTGATAACTCATCTAGTTCATAAGCTACGTAAATCATGTTTTCTTTTTGTGGGTTTGGAATTTTCAAGGCTGAAACAGATAAATTCCCTTTCTCAGCAGTTTTGAAGTTCTTTGAACCAAGAAGTTTTGTACTCTTGTATTTGTTTTCTAATTATGAAGATAAATGCTCGCAGTATCAAACACACAAATTCCTTTATCAGAGAAGATCAAACTACCAGCAAGTTTTAATGAGACTGTGGTTATCAGGTCAGTAAACATAGCTGAGAAAATTATTTGGAAATCATCATTTTGTAAGTAAGTGATCTGAACAAGCTTTGGAAAGGAATAGTGGTCATGGAGACGAGAAGTTTCTTGGGAGCCAAAACCCTCATGAGAATAATGAAAATGTGTATCTGACAAAAAACTTGTCAGTAACATATGCTTTGGGCATTTAAGTAAACAAACAATTTGAAAATTGAATGAGAAAGCAGCATGAACTGGACAACAGCTTGGAAAAAGTGAATGGCAATTTGAGAAGTGTGGTGGCAAGATTACACTTTCCAGCTGCTAATTTTATCACCTTGTGGGATGTCATTAGCACTCTGAGGAAAGATGGTATTTCTGATTATTTTGGGAATACTATTGCTGAAAATTAGATGAGTTTTGCAGCAGCTGAAAACTCGAGAAAGGTGTTTGTTTACTTCTTGAAACAGGAATTTTGAAATGAAAATAGAAGTTCTGTGGCAAATAGCAAGTTAAAATGTGACACATTTGGCACAAAGGCTGCAAGACTGCAATTAAATCTCTTGTATTTGCAGTTACTCTGATACATGCTAATAGTTCAGCTCCTGACAGGGATTTCCCCTTTACACCCCAATTTCTTTTTCCTCAGCATCTGCATACCAGATAAAAAGAAATAAGCTTTTATGACATGGATCTGATTACTAAATTAATTAGAGTGACTATAGAAACTTTCTTTAAAAAGTGCCCTAATGAAAAAATTTGGATTTCAGGGTTTTGGTTGTTTGCTTCATTTGGTTTTGGGTTTGGTTTGGTTTGGTTTGGTTTGGTTTTTACCAGCTGTACTTTTTTCCCAGTGAAGAAATTAATTCGGGGGTGGTGGGGGGGGGGGGGGGATTTACAGCAGAGATATACTTAAAATACTTTTATTCTTGCACAATTCTGTGTACAGGAGACACACACCAGGTTGCTATACCTTCATGGTCATCTTTCTGTCATGGGACAGTGTTTATCCCGTTTACCCTTCCAGTATATTTCCTCTGCCTTCAAAAATCTTCAGGGACAATATATTCATATATTGGTATCTATGCTCACCCCACCCTGCTGCTGTGAACAGTGTGGATGAGTCATCTGCTCACAGATTGCCTTACTGGTACCTTGCAACACAGGAGCTGGCACAGGACAGAGTCACTCTCAGAACAGAGGGAGCACACAGTAATAAAGGTGCCTTTGTCGTAC